ACAATGTAAATGAAAAGAACAATACCCTTACCTTCCCCCCTCAAAAAAAAATTCTATTACTCTTTCTAACAATAGTGACTAAGCTTGGCTCCAAAGAAGTGATGAGAAAATGCACCTCTATCTCTTGTTGGCAGAGGCGGGGGCCTAAGGTATGAAATACTGCATATTCTATCAGACTTGACTGAGGTGCTGGTTGGTTTTGCTGAACTTTTTTTTTTTCTCCTCTCTAGCTTCTTTGTCAAGGGATAGCTCACTGGATAGGAGAATGAAGAGGGATGCATTTGGAAATGAAGGCGATGTTAAAATAAAAGGCATCATTTGAAATGTCAGAAATTATTTTAAAATAAGGTAACTGGTAATCCCAATGAATCTCCAGTTTAAAGACGAGAAAAGGATTAAGGCAGAATGAAGGGCAAGGTGAAGTAGACATATTTGGACAGGGAAACCACATGCAGACAGACCAACCTTGCCTGGGACTCGACTCTGGTCAGATTTCCTCTGTCATTGCTGCTTTTCACAGCTTGCTCCCTTCTTCAACTTCTGAATTCATAGTCTCTAAAAGGTCCCAAGGTTTTTCACAAGAGCCCCCAGGGCAGTGACATGGGAGCTCTGAAAGTTTCAGAGGAATGGAGAGGGTCAGTTATTTTGAGTCTTGGACTGTCTATAATTTTTCTTTTTTTTAAACAGGGCACTTGCCACAACTGCTCTTTACTGAAACTACCCTTCCCCTACCTCAACACCAACCCCCCACCACTAGCACAATAAAGATATCTGAATGATTATTAATTTAAAATCCAATGACAAAGATGAAAAGGTAGAGGATTTGAAACAACCACGAAGTTATTGCAATAGCACTGGGCTGGATCCTAACCTTTATCTTTTACCAATGCAAGGTACTAAAGTGTCATCACTGATAATGTATTCTATCTGGGCAAAGGGATTTAGGCCCAACACGATGGATGAGGTACCTAAATAATTCTCACTGATAACAATTTGAATGATACTCTCAAAGACATCCCTTATTCTGAAATCTCTTTCTACACATAAAGAGATTCCACAAACCTATTTACTAAGTAAGATGTGGGCCCAATTCCAACACATCATCTCCTCAACCTACTTCTCTGCCTCATTATATATTATTGGCCTTTCTCTGCTCTATGATCCTCCCCCAATTGTTCTTACTGTTCCTCACTTACAACACTCTGTCTCCCCCCCTTACCTGGAATGCACCTCCTCCTCCCCACTATCTGGTTGAATGCCTTCCTTCCTTCAAAAAACTCGACTGAAGCACTGCCTTCTACATGAAGCCTTTCCTGGAGGCCGCTAAATGGCCAAGTGGATAGAACACTGGGTCTAGAGTCAGGAAGAACTGAGTTCAAATGTGACCTCTGACACTTACTAACTTTGCGACCCTGGGCAAGTTACTTAACTTCTGTCTGCCTCAGTTTCCACAACTGTGAAATGAAAACAATAATAATAACAACCTACCTCCCAGGACTATTATGAGGATCAACAGAAATATCTGTAAAGTACTTAGCACCTGCCTGACACATAGCAGGCACTTAACTTTGCTCCTCCCTACTTCGATCCCTATATACCTTATCTAGCCGTTCGCTGAATAGCTACTAGAGCGATCCCCCCAAAACTACCTGTGTTAATTCTGCATTTATTCTATATGTGTTATAGGTACATCTCATCTCCTCTGATAGAATATAAATTCCTTGAGGGCACAGAACTGTTCTATTTTTGGTTTGGGGTCCCCAGCACCCAGCAGAGTGCCTCGTACATGGCAGGGGTTTGATAAACAATTGTTGATTGACTGCTATTTATTGAACATTAACACTAGTCCTTACTTTTAAAAAAAAAATTACAAAGTCAAAATTACTTTTTATTTCTATTGACAACTATGCTTGGAATAGTTTTTAGCAACAATGCAGAGCTACCATTTTAGCTATATCTGTAACAGTTTGGTTCCATGGAATGGCAGAATGCTACAGAGTACAGCGTTGAATTGGAGTCAACAAAAACCAACAGGCATTTATTAAGTGCCTACTATGTGTCAGGCACTGTGCTAAGTACTTAGGATACAAAGAAAGGCCAAAAAATTCCTTATTCTCAAGGAGAATTTAGAGTCAGAGTATCAACTTTGGCAATTATTACCTGTGGACCTGGGAAAGTCACTTCACCCATGTCAGGGCTTCAGTTTCTTCACCTGTAAAATGAGGGTAGTGGACTAGATCACCTTTGAAATCCCCTTCTAACCATCGGTAATACTATGATTTCTTAAATGTCAATCCAATGGCACTGATTAGTTTTTAAAATCAAATCAACTACTTCTCTCTGGGGAGAGGAAGTAGCTACCCCTTTTTCCTAAAGAACTTGGAGCAAGAACCAACTTAGCCTGAAAAAGAATTTTTTTTAAAATAGAAATTTTGCATGTTAGAGCCTTCTATTTTGGGCCTTCTTTTCTTGTTCTTTAAATGGCATCTGTCTTTATCACATCAGAAGTCTAGACGTTGGGCAGACAGAGGAAATTACCCAAGCCTACTCATATAATATATATCCTACAGCAATGAAACACTACCTTAATTTAAATCAAACCCTGAGGGCAAAATGTAACACACACCTGGACAACCAATTGAGGTGAGAAAATGAGAAAGCATGACTTTCTGTGGTTTGAACAACAGGCCATGGAATTTCAGAGTTGGGATGCGCCTCAACGGTCATCTGGTCTAATCTGTACCTGAAAAGAAATCCCCTTCTAAAACATATCTCAAAATGATTTATCTGTGTGTGGCAACCTCTAGTGACAGGGAATTCACCACTGCCTTTTGAATAAGTCTAATCATTTGGAAATTTTTCCTCATATTAAGGCAGAAATTTGTCTCTTTGCAAATTCATTACTTCTCTAGGGAGTTTTGTTTTTGGATTTTTTTTTTTGAGGGAAGAGTAGAACAAGTAGCTTAGCACTAGCTTGAAAGATGCAAAATGCTGCAAGTTTGAATCAGAAGATGTTTTAGGAGTCGATTTTTGGAAACACTAACATTTAATCCTATTCTAAAGTTTCCAAAAAAAACAAACAAACAACTAAACCTGATTTTTCAAGTATGGGAAACCCCTGTTTGGATTTGGAGAGACCACACATCAAATCATAGGGTCACAGGATCACAGATTTGGAGCTAGAAGGTACCTCAGAGGCCATTAAGAACCACTCCCTCATTTTACAGATAAGGAAAATGAGGCAAAAAAAGGTTACATGACTTGTCCAGGGTGACACATATAGTGTTGCAGCTAAGTAGAGTGGTGGATAGAGAGCTAGATCTAGAGTCAGGAACACCTGAGTTCAAATCCAACCTCAGACACTTACTATCGGTGTGACTCTGGGCAAGTCACTTAAACTGTCTGCCTCGGTTTCCTTATCTGAAAACAGATAATAACAGCCTCTACCTTCTAGGGCTGTTGTTGTTGAGGATCATATGAGGCACCATTTATAAAGCACTCTGCAAACCTTAAAGCACTATACAAATGTTAGTTCTCTCATCAAGCTGATCATGGTGCTCCCCAGCTTGATCACTGCCCTTCCTAAAATATGATCCTCCAAACTGAATACAACACTCTAGTCTTCTTACACATTCTTCTCCTCCACTAACTCTCCAGTCCAGCCATTCTGCACTGCTTGCTCTTCTTCACTCAACATGCTTCTCCTCCTGGGGTTATTCTCTCTACCTGGAATATTCTCCCTTCTCATCCTCACCCATGGTTTCCCTTGACACTCAGCTAAAAAGCCATCTTCTGTCCCATTCCCCACAGATTCTACAGCCTTTCCTTCAGAGGTTACTTTCTGGCAAATCTGTATGAATCTTACACACACACACACACAAACATATATATCAATGTAATATATATAATGCATATTTTAGATACACATATATTTATATATGCATGTATATTTATGTATGTAATGTGTATTTATATATACATATGTATATATGCATGATGCCTTATGCACACATAAATGCATCTATTGCTTACATACTGCATATGTAATATGCATATATTTATACATATTTATTGTATATATAATTATATACACATGTATACACAGTGTGTATACATATATGCATATATACATCTATGCACACATATATTTTGTGATATATACATATAAATCTATATTTCATATAACATGTTATAGTTCTATAAATCTTATATAGTTATATTTATGAACACATTTTATTAATGTTGTATATAACATAATATAAATATATACTCATATTTATATTTTATATATGTGTGCATGTATTTAAGCTCCTTGAGGGCAGGAATTGTTTTTGCTTCCTTTTATTCTCAGCCCTCAGTAGAGTGGCTGGCATATAGTAAACACTTAATAAACATGTTGATTGAATGCTGTGATCTGATGCACAAAGTACAGTGAGACCATCAACTCTTGGTTTCTGGATTGCACGCCTTCCTAATAATGCATGCCTGCATTATTTGGCCCACATCACATAAAAGAGACACAGAAAGTACTCCAGTCTATGCCTGTCCATTAGGCCAGGGGTGGGGAACCTGGAGCCTTGAGGCCACGTGTAGCCCTCTAGGTCCTTAAGTGCGGCCCTTTGACTTAATCCAAACTTCACAGAACAAATCCCCTTAATAAAAGGATTTGTTCTGTAAAACTTGGACTCAGTCAAAAGGTCACACCCAAGGACCTAGAAGGCCCCACGTGGCCTTGAGGCTGCAAGTTCCTCACCCCTAAGTTAGGAGATATGACGTTTGCATTCTCCATCGCCTCCTCTTCCTCCTACCTCCAAAGCAGTTTTAGCTTTTAAAGACCATATATGCATTAAACATAGCCTAGAAGAACAAAGGCAGCTGAAAATAAAGGATTTCACTTAATAAGACAATCTCCATCACAAGCCTTGAATTAAGAAAGGTTGGAGAAGCCAGTGTCAAAGGCAACATCTAAATTAGCATGTAGTTTTGAAACAAGAGTTTACCGATTCCAAATGGCTCTCTGAAGGCTGGTGAGTCTCCGCTTGGGCTATTTCAGGTCCTGGCACACATGAGTCACTTCTTAAATTCACCAGCAAGTGAGTGTCTCCAATAAAACAGTCATTCTCTCCAGGATTAAGTGGCTTATTAGCAAAAGGATTTGGGTGGCAACACCATTCTTCAACCAGGGCATTCCAGTTTCCACTTGGCAGAGGGAGAACTCTGAGGAGCTTCCTAGTTAAAAGAGAAAAATGTTGAGAGTTTTCCCAACACCCCCCACATCTCATCAGGGGTCTTTAGCATTTACGTAAATGAAACAATGAAAAAGATGGAAAGGCTAGATCTACCTCACTTTGTTTTTTCAACCTGCATTCTGTATTAATCATCTTTTTCAAGCAGCACCCACTGCTGTTTCTTTCTACTATTTTTTTTCCCATAGCGTGGCTAGGCAAATGCATAACAAAGTATCTAAACAGTGCTGAAAAAAATTGGAGCTCTATCATATTAAAATGCCTCTTCTTTGAAACAGCTTAATGCCAGGTACAATCCTCTTTTCCTGGTCTACTGTGTTTATACAAATAATTTAGTGATTAAGTTCAGAATAAAAATAAATTTAAAAAATGAAAATGCATGTTCCTAGATAAAAGGGTTTTCATTATATCTACTTTCTTTTTAAAATTATTTTGCTTAGTATGCATAGGAATTGAGGGCCGTAGTGCTATTTATTTATTTTTATAAGCATTTATTATTTTTCCACCTATTGCCCCCCTTCCAATTAAATAATAAAAGAAAAAGAAAATCCTCAGAACAAATACATACAGTGCAACAAAACAAATTCCCATATTAGCCATGGCCAAAAACATAAGTATTATTCGGCATCATAAGTCTCTGGCAGTAGGTGGATGCCTACATCTTTAGTCCTCTGGACTTGTGGTTTATCACTAGGGACAGTAATGTTCAACATTATTTTAGAAAGGTATTTGAGGTTCACTTCAATTCCCTTTTCCGCATAACAATTCCTGGGGAATTTAGCATTTGGCCAGTGGAACACTGTGGGAGACTGACTCTCAGTAACAAATCAGTAGTACCTCTTCCAGACCCCACTGAAGCTCCATGCTGCAGGCATATGGAAGAATGAAACCCAGGAATGAAAAAAAAAATAGGGAAAGAAAGGAAAGACATGGTTTGGTCACTGGCCTGGCACAGAGAAACAGAGAAGTGGTCTCTGCTCCCTTTTCACTCACATCATGTGTAAATGAACACAGCAAAATCTCCCTTCCTTTCTACTATATCCCCATTATGGTCTGCTCTCCAAAGAAAGTAAACTTTTTGAGGGTAAGTTCTGCTTCACTCTGACCTTTGTCTAGTGTCTAGCACTGTCAGCACTTTACAAATGTTTGCTGAAATTGCATTGGTCCTTTTAACTCCTCTGGGAGTTAGAACCAAAAATCACACCTTCTACAATCCAGATTCTATTTCAAATCTGATGGCCATTGGCTTCACTATGGGAATTCTCCCCCCTCCACACCCATCTCCTAAGAGGAAAAGACCAGTTTGAAATGAGAGAATCTTGTCATAATAGCAAAAGAAAGCCATTGCCTTAATAGAGTCATAACATCCGTCTTTTCTGAGGTCTGGCTAGAGATGAGGGACAGTAAAGGATGAAGCTTTTAGAGTCCACAATATTTAGAAGGTGACATTGAGAATCTTGCCAACAAAGCTAATCAGGCAGCACTATAGCTTCCCCTGACAAACAAAAGAGACAGGAAATGACATCCATCAAACCAAATACTTGTTAACCAAGAGAGGCAGTCATAAACAATTACATATATACTTTAAGGTGTGTGCTAAAGGATGGATACAGCCTTCAAATGGTTTATCACATAAAAGAAGAGATAAGCACTTCAATCCAATTCACAAAAAATGTATCAAGTCCCTACTATGTGCTGAGTCCTGGGGATAAAAAGACAAGAACAATATTCCAGCAGAAAATTCAATATGTTTACAGGTAAATACGATATGAGGTATACTGAGTGATGGTGGCAAGGGAAGAATCAGATAGTGCTCAAGGAAAATTTCAGGGAAAGAGCACTAATGCCTAGGGACCAAGAAAGGCTTCATGGAGGAAGTGACAGATGAGCCAAGGATGAAGGGGGGAAATGAAAATTCTGAAAATCAGGGATGAGAATGCATTCCAGGCAAGAGGCATAGCTTGTGTGAATGCTTGGGGGGTAAAAAAAACCAATAATGTTGTATTTTGGAAATAATCAGTAATTCTATTTGGCAAGATGACAGAATACAAGAAGGGGACTAATGTAAAAGCTGTTCCAGGTCCAAATTGTGGGAAGCCTTAAACACTGGACTAAGGAGTTCATATTTTATCTTAGGGGTAACAGGGAGCTACTGCAGGCTTTTCAGTAAATCCCTGCCTTAGGAATATTTTTTATAGTTGGATGGAAAGTGGATTGGAAAGGAGAGGGATTCAAGGCAGGGAAACCAATTAGAAAGCTATCTTAAGAGTTCAGAAAAGAGGTGATGAGGGCCTGATCTAAAATGATGGCAGCATGAGTAAAGCCAGGGGATGGCTGATGAGGTTAAAATTAACAAGATTTGACAACTGATTAGCTATAGATGCAGCCAGCTGGTGTAGTGGATAGAATACTGGACCTGGAGTCAGAAAGTTCAAATCTAACCCAAGTTTGAATCTAGCCTCAGACACTTTCTAGCTGTATAGCCCTGGACCATGTCACTTAACTTCAACTTGCCACAATTTCCTCAACTGTAAAAATAAGGATAATACCACCCCTACTTTAATAGAGTTGTTGTGAATATTTGTAAAGAGCTTAGCATGGTACCTGGCACCTAGTAGGTGTTTTAGAAAATGCTTATTCCCCTTCTCTATAAGAAAGAGGGTGAAGAAGAAGGAAGAGTCAAAGGTGACTCCAAAGTTTTGGGGGGTTTTATGTTGGTTATTTTGCTGAATCTTTTTCTTCTTTATTATAAGAGAAGGCTTTATTATAAGGGAGCGAAGGGGAGAATACAATGAGAAATGTAGGTAATATAAAAACAAAAGATAACAAAAAAACATTTTTAAAGCGTAGCTTATACACAAATAAAGCCAATGCATCCAAGATTAGGAGGGAAGCAGGAAAGAATTTTTACAACCAGTTTCTCTGATAAAGGCCTCATTTCTAAAATACATAGAGAACTAAGTCAAATTTATAAGAATACAAGTCACTCCCCGATTGATAAATGGATAAAGGCAGTTCTCAGAGGAAGAAACTAAAGCTATCTATAGTCATATGAAAATATGTTCTAAATCACTATTGATTAGAGAAATGCAAATCAAAACAACTCTGAGGTACTACATCACACCTATCAGATTGGCTAACAGGACAAAATAGGACAATGATAAATGTTGGAGAAGATGTGGGAAAATTGGAACACTAATACATTGTAGGTGGAGTTGTGAAATGATCCAATCATTTTGGAGAGCAATTTGGGGCTATGCCCAAAGGGCTATAAAATTGTGCATACCCTTTGACCCAGCAATAACACTTCTAGGTCTGTATCCCAAAGAGATCATAAAAATCTGAAAAGGACCCACATGTACAAAAATATTCATAGCAGCTCTTTCTGTGGTGGCAAAGAATTGGAAATCGAGGGGATGCCCATCAATTGGGGAATGGCTGAACAAGTTGTAGTATATGAATGTAATGGAATACTAGTGTGCTATAAGAAATGATGAGCAGGCAGAATTAAAAAAACTTGGAAAGACTTACATGAACTGAAGCAGAGTGAAATGGGCAGAACCAGGAGATCATTGTACACAGTAACAACCACATTATGGGATAACTGACTTCGACAGACTTGGCTCTTCACAACAACGCAAGAATCTAAGACAACTACAAAAGATTCATGATGGAAACTGCTATCTACACTCAGAGAAAGAAATATGGATTCTGAATGCAGATGGAAGCATACTATTTGCTCTCCTTTTCCTTTGTTGTTTTGTTTTATTGCTTCATTCTCATAGTTCCTCCCATTAGTTCTAATTGTTTTTTACATCATGAGTAATGGGAAAATATGCTTAACATGAATGTATACGTAGAGCCTATATCAGATTGTATGCCGTCAGGGGGGATGGGAGAAGGGAAAGGAAGAAAAAATTTAAAACTCAAAATCTCATGGAAGTGAATGTTGAAAACTAAAAATAAATTAAGACCAACAAAATAAAAAAATTTAAAAGTGTAGTTTAAACCCTGAAAAACTTATTATTTTTTTTAAATCTCCATTTAGTTACAGACTTTAATTCCCTGGAAAATTTTTTAAAAAGAAAGTGGATAACTATTCATCTGGGTAGCTTTTAGATGAAAACCTGCAAGGAATGGATTAATCTTAGGATTCTACAATCAGCAATATAGATATTTTTGAATTACTGACCAATTTTCATTTGGGTTACACATTTTAAAAATTCATGAAAATGTGATGAGGATGAATTACTTCAATATTATTGAGGGATAAATAGTGTTTCAATCAATCAACAAGCATTTATTAAGCCCCTACTAAGTGCTAGGCATCGTGCTAGATGTTAAGAATTTTACAAAGAATAAAATAATCCAGTCACAAGAATCTTACATTTTAATGGGAAGACAACTGCAACACATATAAGCATATAAAGAATAAATATAAAGAGAATAAACACAAATAAATACAATCTATTTACAAATTGAGTAATCTGGGAGAAAGGATAGTTTGGTAGCAGTTGGCAGATCAGGAAAGGCTTCATGCTTAAAATACCATAAGCAAGGTGAGGAAATGAAATGACCATTAACTCTAACGTAAACCATAAATCAGTTACACCTCATCCCTGACCACCCTCCCCCTACCACCCCACAACCGTCAGTGGTAAGGAAAGAGGACTTCCCCACCCTGGGCAGGGTCTACATTTCCAATTTTCAAAATGACATCCAGCTCTTAAAGATCTGGGAACTACTGCTAGGCCTGGTACATACCTAGCTGATGTCATCAAAATGATAAGCCACAATGGAAATTCATTGCTATATATTTTGAATCCTCTCTTACATTCTTCTGTGCACATGACACTTTTTCTTTTCTTATTTTATATTTGTTTGTTTCTTTTCCTTTTATTGTTATGAATTTGAGTTTTAGTATTTAAGTCTAAAAGAAAAAAAAGATAAGCCACAAAAGCCATAAAAAGAGCTTTGCATTTT